ATAGTTATACTGTGCCTGACTAATGTTGATTGGAGTTTTACACATACAAGTTACAAATGTGTGTGAGATCTATGAGCAAGAGTAATGAAAGCTGGTAGAACTGACTCAGGATTAGTTTGAGGTTTGTTGAGGCAGGAGGGGATCATAGAGAAGGAATGTTTGCACTTCACGTGCAAGGAACAATCCAGAAGAATGAATCTTTGAAGTCAGTGGCTGTTGCTTTATATATTGGCCACAGTTAAGCTCAAATGGATGGTGCTTAAGAGATTACTTGGGGAGATTGAAGGAGAGAAGAGTTTTGGAAGTGGAATTAGAGACCTTTGTGCAGCCTTCACTTTGTTGGTAATGTCAGTTTTGCTCAGTCTTCAGCCATGTAATATGTGATGTTCATGTGCCAGGGTACTTGACTTGCAGCCTGGGTTATCCCCATTTGCTGATACAAAGAAAAATAAAGAAGTTGCTAGAATGTTTTAGCACTTGTGTCTTAGACTTTTTCATGCCTCTTATTATGCCATAGTCTGTATTAGTATTCACTTGCATGAAGTGTTCCCAACCAAAGTGAAGTGGTGCCTGAATTATCGGGTCTAGAGAGGAACAGAGCAGTTCAGTGGCAAGGGGGGGGTTATTTTGTTGTGGCTTGTTTTGGAGCAGTGTTTGTCAGCTGAGGATTTACCTGCCAAGTGACAAAAAGCAGCTTCTAACATTTGAGACGACTGCAGGTACAGGAGCCACATTGCTACAGTAAAAATCCCACTGAAATACATTGATCCTGTATTCCAGTATCTGGCTCTGCGCTCGCCCTGTTTTGAAAGGTACATGGTTGTAACCTGGGTAAGTACAATCTAAGAGTGCAGTACAGGCTGGGGTCTGCCCAAGAAGGGGAGGAGCTTGGAAAGAGACCTGGGGGTGCTGGTAGACAACTCAGTAGGAGTGAACAGCATGCTGGTGTGGCAAAGAAAGCATGCTGGGGTACATCAACAGGAGAATCACCAGCAGAGATGAAGAAGCCATTATCCCATTCAACTGTGACCTTGTCAGGCCACCCTTGGAATATTGTGTTTAGTTTTGGTCCCCACTGTACAAAAATGATGTGGACAGGCTGGAGAGGGTCCAGAGAAGGGCCACAGAGATCTTCCAAGGTCTGTGAAGCCTGCCACGTGAGGAAAGGCTGAGAGAGCTGGGCTTGTTCAGCCCAGAGAAAAGAAGGCTTAGGGGAGACCTTATCACTATGTTCCAGTATTGAAAGGACGGCTACAAAAAAGATGGGGACACCCTTTTTACAAGGAGTCGCATGGAAAGACCAGGGGTAATGTGTACAAGATACTTCTGGGCAGGTCCTGGTTGGACACTAGAGGAAAAGTTTTCACAATGAGAACAATCAGCCATTGGAATAATCTCAGGGAAGTAGTGAACTGCCCAATATTGGACAGCCATAAGGTTTGGCTGGATGGCATGCTGGGACATATAGTCTAGGTCATGCTTTGTCAGATGATCCTTGAGGTCCCTTCTGACCTGCTGTTCCATGATTCTATGATAACCTTAGCAGCAAGCACAGAACGTGGATGCATGTAAACATTTGACCTGCTGAGGAAAGCTCTTTCTCTGGGATCTGTTCAATCCCAGACTCCTAAGGAGAAGTGAGGTACTTAATGACATCTTGTGTTTGCTTTCTGTCGTTTATACGATGCAGTCTTCTCTGGAGACTTTTCTCTGCAGGGGTGTTCCAGAGGTACTTCTGATGCTGAGGTTACCTTGATTTGTTCCCAGCCCAGCAGTTTTGAAATAGCAGTGTGGGAACAAGTTGTGCAGAATACATGGCGAGGTTTCCTGTAAGGGAAAGATAAGCCTTGATCCTCCTCCTTGATGCTCAAGCAGTTGCCCTCATTTGGCAAGCTCTTGGAGCTAACCCTGTTTCCTACTGCAGTACATCTGGGTCACTGGAAAAATATGTGTTTAGGAGGAATGCACAAGGCAGGCAAACCAGCTTACATCATCCTCAGAGCTTGTCAGGCCACGACTGCTTCCTAGCTTGTCCTCAATCTTGTTCAGGGGAATCCAGGTAACTCAGATGTTATTTTCATCCAGTTCATGCTCACAGAAAAGAATGAGGGCTCTTGAAAATTGTATTCTGAGTGTTTATCAGATTTGCACCAGGAGGAGGAGGTAGGTCAGAACACTTGAATCATCTTTAATTCATGAAAGTAGGCATTTAGAGCACTTCTGGAGTGTCAGTTACTTGTGGCAGGAGTGGAATATGCAGCTACTTGTATAGCCTGCACCATAAGCCCTGCCTTTATAGTTGCATGCTAAAGTTCTGGATACATCAAATGGTACATCAAAAATTGTGTTTGTTGACTGGGGGAAAGGTAATTGTGTGCCTCTATGTTCTAGATGATAATGTGTGATACACATTTACAGCAATACCATGCAAAACCCATGTGCTTTTTTCAGGGATAGCATCAAAACTCACAGGCATTGATTGGGTGAGTGCAAAACTTCCATCTCTGCTATTTTGGGGCCTTGAGGTTTTTTTTATGCTTGCATTATGTCATGCATTGAATTAGTCCCATTTCCAACAGAACATAAAAATGGAGGAGAGAGAAGCAAATCAAAGGTGGTATGGACTAGTAGAGTTCTGTAATTCTCGAAACTCACTGTTGTAAAGTAGTGCAGAGAGGTTGTAATGATCAGATGTATGGCTGTTTTACATGTCTTCCTTTGCTTGTACTATGAAAGGAAAATGAAACCACTATAATTCCATTTCTACTCGTTTTTCTCTCTAATCTTTAATGTAAATCTTTTTCATACATGGAACATGAACCTTTGCATGAAATAAATTGATCTCAGTAACAGAGTGCTCTGTGCAGTGACTTGTTGCCAGTAAGACTTTCCCATCCTCCGAGAGGCAAGCTTTCAACATAAGCATCAGGTTGTATCTACACTGGATTAAACAGAATTAATATTCATGAGACTGTCTTCTCTCTTGGTGTACAGGTTGCCTTAGCAGGCGTAAGTTAACTTTGATTTTTCAGGACATTGGTTTTCTGTATTTTATAATTAATACCTTGAAAGCTCTGACGTAAGAAGTGGTGGTGGATTTTTATTGGCTAGAAGAGTCAGAGAAAGAACTTCTCTTGCTGCAGGAGGGACAGTTCAAGAGAGCTACATACTTGCATTTTAGCATACATTTGCACATCTGTGGAGTTCCAAGGCCATCCTATATTCCCTCTGCACTGCTGATAGTTGTCCTTCCTCAGCCATTTTGCTCTTCAGCCTTGTCCCCAGATTCCTTCATGTTGTTACCTAGCTCCTGGAGTGGCACTGGAAGAGGCAGCAGCATAGGCAGGGTTTTTGGAGGCTGCTGTTCCTTGTCTGTGTTGCAGAAGTACCATAAGAACAGATGTAAGTTAGTGGGCCATTGTCATTTGTTTAATACTGGTGCTATTACCAGAGTCATTTAAGCTATGATGTTAAAAAAAAGCATCTTTCTGTAGGAAAGAGTGATGTAGGCAGAGCCTTGCAAGGGGATTTGGCCTATTAGGAGGTATTGATAAGAGCTATTAAAATGTCCTGAAAATACAAATAATGGTGAACAGACATCTTGAATTATGAGTCTTTAACAGCACACAAAACCAGCAGTTCTTTGCATATTGTCTATTCAAGGCATGTATTTTTCTGCATGTTCCCATATCTTTACTCGCTGGAGACTGCTGCTCTTTGCTGAGGCAGCACAGAGATGGGTAAGGAAAACAAGAGCACTGTGAGAGTAACACACCACACTCCACGCTTGAAGTGACCTTTTAAAGTCACAGTAATACTGTTAAATTGCTATAGCTAAATGAGGTTTGGTATTAAGATACCAGCCAGTGGATCTGCTAGCAAGGGGCTCCACTTGAAGACCTGGGAGTTCTGTACTGTTTCCATCCATGTAAAGTGTTTATGTATTGCCTTCCTCTACAGTAAGATCTAGCTGTTAATACAGCAAGTGCAGGAGAGGTTACTTCTGGTTAATTCACCTAGCTTTCAAAAGTAAGATTTCAGGTTGATGCAGTTAATTATACCCACCCCTCAACATAAATGTATTCACAGTCCTGATGAGATTTGCACAGAAGAATGCATTAAAATAGCAGAAGTATTTTTAAGACCTGTTTTGCTGCTGAGAGTTCCCAGTTCCACAGTTAAGCAATGTGATTATGGTACTCTGTCATTTAATTCCTGTTTGTTCTTTCTTTCCTTTGCTGATGTATTCTGTAACAAAGTACCTTATAATAAAGCTACTTTTGTTGTTCTTCTGTGTTAAGTTCACATGGACCTCTAACGTGATCTTTGGTATCAAAATTGATACTCAAGTCTTCGGCTTGTTCTGTTGTGCTATGACTGTATGTTTAACTTGGAGATAACTGGGACATCAAAATATGCATGAACAGAATAGGTAAATATGGTAACACTGGCTTATGCTCTATGAATGATTAATATGTATTTTTAATCCCTTAATAGTTAGGAATTCAGTAAGATCAAAGTAACAGTTCTAAAAGATGCAGGGTTTTTAAACTTTGTGTGTGTGCATAGTTGTTGAGGAGTGAGTTTGGTGTCTTTAAATTTGCACTTGTTGGACTCGGCTGGGTAAGAGACTGATGAGTTGATGAATTGCTTTAAATAATGATGCAGATGTCAGCTTGAATATCTCCGAATGAAAATATTGATTGGGCAGCATAAGTATATCCTTGTCCCTGTTTGTAATCAGAAAATGCCTCTTGTTGGAGACCATATTCATTAATGTGACCTTAAACATATGTTTGGCTTAAATATTAGTGCAGAAGTGCAAAGCCTGAAGGAAAAAACAGTTTGGTGGCAGTTCACGCTCCCACTAAAGATGTGTACTTAAAATGTCCGCAGCTTTCTCATCCCTGTTGGTTTCTTTGAGTGCTTTAATTGTACTTCATGCTTCAAATCTGTTGCTGATTCTCTTTTTCTTTTTTCCCTTCTCTGTTTTCTTTCAGAAAGATGAGGTGTACCTCAACCTGGTGCTGGACTATGTTCCTGAAACAGTATACAGAGTTGCCAGACATTATAGTCGGGCCAAACAGACACTCCCTATGATTTATGTCAAGGTAGGTGACTGATAGATGTTGTTAAGTGAAGAAGAATATCATAGGAGTAAACTCTGTGGATACCTCTTTCCTGACATAGTTTTCTCACATTTTTAGGAGCATATACATCACGAGGCAAGGAAAAAAAAGATACTGGAATGACTGTTATGACAAAGGAAGGACAGGAGAGGCTTAAAGCACTCTCAAAGTCTTGGAGTGGGTGGGGGAGACTGAGTGTGAGAGGAGTTCTGGGCTTTTAAAGTACCTTAGAGACTGACACCAGCCAGATGAGCAGCTTCAGTTTCCTGAGGAGATGAAGACACAGTAGTACAAAGGTCAGGAATTGGAAGAAGATGTCAGGAAGAATAATGGCCTCCTATCTGTTGTATTCCCCTTTTCCTGGCCTACGAGTAAGAGTTCATGTGCTTCTGTTGGGGGCATGAAAGTCATAGTTTTGTCCCCATTTGGAGCTTGTATGCACAGTGTAGCCTCAAAACCTCACTTAAGTTGCCTGCGTCTTTTGTTGTCTCTTACGAGATAGTTAATGAATAAAATTTCCTTTTCCTCTGTAAAATTGGGACCTATTTGGGTCTTGTAGTTTCATTTCATACAGTGTGGTGACCACAATCCACATGCTAGTGAATGATCACATTTTCATATGGCATTAACTTGCTAACGTGGCACCAAAGTAAGACTAAATGGAAATAAGCCACAAATATTCCTGATTCTTACTGATTCCTCCAGAATCCTCTTTAAAAGCCTTATTCTTAACATGATAGTGGGGTTGAGAAAAGAACATGAATTTGATTGTAAGAAGATGAAAGTTGTAGAGGTGAAAGCTACAAATAGTAATTATTCCAGTAATGAAGTGTTGTGCCACAGCTGTATATGCATTAATTATGAATGGCATGTCTCTTCAGTAGCCACCACTGGAGCCTGCTTTTAAGGTAGGCCTAGAGAGTTGGGGCTCTTGAGCCTGGAAAAGAGAAGGCTGCGTGGAGACCTCATAGCAGCCTTCCAGTATCTGAAGGGGGGCTATAGGGATGCTGGGGGTGGACTCTTCATTAGGGACTGTAGTGATAGGACAAGAGGTAACGGGTTAAAACTTAAACAGAGGAAGTTTCAGATTGGATATAAGGAAGAAATTCTTTACTGTAAGGGTGCTGAGGCACTGGAATGGGTTGTCCAGGGAAGCTGTGAATGCTCCATCCCTGGCAGTGTTTAAGGGCAGGTTGGACAGAGACTTGGGTTACATAGTTTAGTGTGAGGTGTCCCTGCCCATGGCAGGGGGTTTGGAACTTGATGATCTTAAGGTCCTTTCCAACCCTCACTATGCTATGATTCTATAATATCATTCAGTTTCTACTGCAAGGTCACACTGTTTGGTCTGTTGGTAAACAGCTTCAGGTTTATATGTACCCCAAAATCTGTTGGCTTAGCTTTTGATAAATTATTCGTATAACTTTTGTCAGCACTCTTGTCCTAATTGCTCTTCATTATGGGAACGTGGGAAAAATTGTCCTTACTTATGCTTTGAGAGAAAATTCTGCTTCAGCTCTTTAATCTTCCTGGCTGCTCGGGACTTCCCATTCCAAGCAGCCTGGAAGGCTGTTCTTATTTTTCTGGCAAAGCAAGCCTTTCTCATGATTCTGTATTTAAAAAGATCATGTTACCTTGATGTCATAAAAGCTTTTGCAATTCCTGAACCATCTTGCCTACACAAAGGGCAGATCATACCTATCTGTTCATGTTTGATTGATACCTAGGCAGGCAGAGAGGTACTTACCCTAGGTAACAACAAAGCTGTTAAAGAAATGCAGGGAAGCTTTTCTAGTAATCTGCTTACTAATTTCTATTTGTAACTTCCAACATGCTGGAAGAAATTCTTAGAAATGTTGGTTTTGCTGGGGGGAGATGAAAAACATACCTTCTAAATGCTGCGTGTGTCAACTTGACTTCTCAAGTTAGAGCAATCTCTTGCGTTATTTTGCAATACACTTGCACAATACATAGGTAACACGTCAAAACCCATGTTTGTTTGCTTTTCTTTGTGCACAGTTGTGGTTTTTAAAAACAAATATGAAAACCAAACACCTAGAGCCAAAATTCAAATGATTCTCCTCCCACTCCTCCTTTCCCCACCAAACAAACAACAAAAAACAAAGGAGAGAGAAAGTGTAAAGACAAAGATAGTGGTGAAAGTGCGGCAAGCATGACCTGATAGCAGTATCTAGCAATTGCACCCGGTTTTAGGCCGTTAAAGGTGAACTGTGGAGCATGTGCTTAGCAAAGGAAAGTGTGGAGGTGCATCTCCAGTACTGTGTCCTGCCTGTAGCTTGATTCTTTAAATGGAACCTTGTGGGGGACGCAACAAAGATAAGAAATCACCAGGCAGCCTGTTGTCAACTTTGAAACAGGGCTTCCCACGCCTTTATGGCAGTATATGCTATATGACCCTAATTGTATCCAGCAGCTCTTTATTCTCCATAGCTGAAAGCGTGTAGGTCCAGCAGCTGAACATCCTCCCCTTGCCACATGGTGCTCTCTTGGCTTTGTATCATCTCCTCTTGCAGTATTCATCCTTGCTAAGGGTTTAGCCAGCCTTAGAAAGGGGGAAGAGAAAACTTTCCCTCAGCATACCTGTTTGCTGTGCCTTGCATAAGATTTTGAACAGTTTGTTTTATCTGCCTTCTCTTTTTGCCCAGAGATTTGAAATTAGAATGAGTCTGTCCCTTCACTGAGGGAAACGGGGAGATTCACTGAAGCGACAGGCTGAGACACTACCATAGTCCTTGGATGACATTTAGTATATTGTTAATAACTTCATCAACAAAAGGGTTTTCTTTGGTGTTTGGGGTCGTGGTTGTTTGGGTTTATTTTAGTTGGGTGTTTGGATTTAATGGGTTTTTTATAGTTCTTGTTTAATAAGCTGTAATTCTTCATTTCTGTGACGAAGCTGATTTATGAAGCAAACTGAAACACTTGTTGTGTGTTTTCTGTGACTACCGTTATTTATAACTGTGGAAAGCTGCACAGTTATTCTTTTTTGGATCGTGCTCATTTTGGAAAAAGGGCAAAGGAACAAATTTGAACCGCGTGTGTGGGTATGTGGCAAAGGATGGGTGAACAAGGTATGCAAATACCCGAACATCTTCGTAGCACTAACATGCCTTCAGTAGGATCGTCTTTTAGTGTGGGTTTTGGTTTTGTTGGGTTTGTTTTTCTTCTACTAAGGGTTTATGTTAAAATAATTGTTTCCCCTGTTTCTGACTGGGAAAACCATTCCTTATGCGCTGCTTCTTTGTTCCAGTTATACATGTATCAGCTGTTCCGGAGTTTAGCCTATATCCACTCCTTTGGGATCTGCCACCGGGATATAAAACCACAGAACCTCTTGCTGGACCCTGATACAGCTGTTCTAAAACTCTGCGACTTCGGAAGGTAAGTGCATCTGTGGCCTGAAACCTGGTAAAAAGAGCTTCCTTCAAAGTGAACCTGGCTACAGCTTTGCAGAGCAATCCTCTGTTCTCCAGGAGGTCCTCATCTGTAGTTTTGAAAGAGAAATTATTTATACTCATGTTTTCCTCTCAAAGTAAGTTTGTATGAGAGAGGGGGGTGTAAAGGATATCAAGAAGCGGGGAATTTAAGTTCAAGCCTCTTATTTATGAAGGCATTAGAAAAATAAATACACTGTCATATAGGTGAAGTACAACACCATGGAAAAATATAACCAAATATTAGGATGAAATGTGTTTGGGAAAGAGGGGGCAGGCACACTGGTATGATAACCTAAAAAGGCTAACGTTACACTTTATTAGTCTATTTGTATATACACCAGTTGACTTAATATTTCAAATACCATAAGAGGCTCAAGATCAGAAGCAACAATTCTAATTGAAGCTCTTAGTGGGCTGTATCCTAGTTTCCCATGTCACATTTATTTCTAGTTTCTGTTTAAGTCAGTCACCTTTAGAGGCCAACCCCAATCTTAGAGCTGATACAGAAATTTGGGGAGTCCACATTGAGACAGGAGACAGGTTTCTCTCCAGGAAAGTTCTGTCTTCAGGTTGTGGTACAACTTTGCAGACTAAAATAGTTAGGGCATATGTGTGAGAGGTCACAGAAGCTGCTGTTGCTATATTAGTTTGCCCATACTGAATGGGAATGTCAGATGGGGGTTATTCAAGCAGCACATCATCATGCCTCGTGGCTTGGGAATCTCCTCCTCAGCTCTACCTCACCAGTGCTGGGAAAAAATAGGAATCATACTGAACTCAAAAGTAATAATGCATAAAAAGATGGTACTTCCTCTGTGCTAACATGGAAACCAGTAGGAATTTGTCAATTGTTGTTTCTATATGGAAAGTGGAAAACTGAGACTTTTTAACACAGGCTAAATGGGTGGTGGGAGTCCTTCTTCCCTGGGAGGCTGAGAGTAGTGTCTGGAAGGCTGGACGGATGATCTGGCTGGCTTGCCACTCTGCTGGGTTTGGTGCTACTTGGTTGAATGTCTTATTTCTGAAAGGGCAGTTTTGTCTTCCACCTCCTTTCTGTCCAACACATGGGGCTAATTAAGAAAAAAGCATAGCATGTTCATAGACTCATGTTCTGAATGTAATGTGCTCTTGTGTTCCTTTATTTACTTCCCACATTAGTGATTGGGCCAATATTGTAAGTTAGATCCTTTGTGCCTGATCTCTTGCAGTATAAATGAAGCCTTCATGTTAATTGTGGCACATTAACATGTGACTGCAGTGGCAAAGGTTTTTTTTTCCTTTGTCTCTTCCTAACGCACTCCCTTAAACAGCAGGGAATTAGAATATTGTGATGGAATGTTCAAACCAAACCAAACCCCAGTCTTAGTTCTGGTGAGTATCCAGAGCTTTTGAACCTTAAAAGGGAACTGTGTTTGACTGAACTGTATTCTGTCCTCTTTTTCTTTGTAAACAAACCTTTGTACCTGGCAAAAGACAGCTGCCAGCCAAAAATCTGACCCTATTTATCACCTAATCTGTAGGCACAATTTCCTTGGCTAAGTCCAGTGTAAGGTAGCTGGTGGATTGAACTGATTTCGTGGTAAGTCATTTGAGTTTATGGCTTTCATCAGCTTAGAAGAACATGGTACTTCAGTATTTAGGAATTGGAGTGAGGAGTGCCAGAGCACCTTAATGTGGGTCTGCACTGCAGTGCTGTAGAACTGTTAATTACTTAAAGATTATTATTTTGTTTTCTTTACAGTGCAAAACAGCTGGTTCGTGGAGAACCTAATGTCTCATACATCTGCTCTCGGTACTACAGGGCACCAGAGTTGATCTTTGGAGCCACCGATTATACCTCCAGTATAGGTATGTATGTGTGTGTGTGTGTGTGTGTGTTTGTGTTAAAATCTATACCAACTACAGGAGTTTGTATTCTGTAGTGAAGTTTTCCAGAGTTAAGGAAGTTCTGTAGTTAAGGTTTCCAGAGATCTTGGATACAATCCTCAGAGGCAGAATGTTATTGTAAATGGTCAGGTCACACTTCTTAATGACATACTCGCATTTTGTACACAGCTGCTGTGATTTCGATGTAGATTTCCATGTCAGTTACATTAGGAAAGGGGTTTTAATGTATTAAGAGAAATCTGATTTCAAACAGAAAAAAATCCAGGTAGCTCTGCCAAGTAGTTTAGAAGTAAATATGAGATCTCAAGCCAGAAAAGCACTTTGATGACTTAAAACCAACTGTAAAGAATGACTTGCAGAAATATGGACTACCGCCTCTTGATACACTGTGATTTAGATACGTAGAATTCTGCAATGTTACTTACTTGGGTTTTAGCAAAGAGTTGTTTGGGGGGGGCAGGGGGATGGGAAATGTAGCCTGATGATTAGCTTTAAACAATCTTGACAGATTTAATGTATTACATACAGCAGTCTTTCCGATTTGACTTATTCTGTGAACTTCTACTGTCCTTTAGTCGTTAATTTTGAACACAAAGAAGATGACTTTCTAATACCTGGCACATAGCTGTGTCATGGAAGTTAACTAGGGAAGCTGGAGGTTTTGGCGGAGGACAGGGAACAGGGAGGTTTTCTTACAGTGGAGTCCTAAAACTGAATTGCAGAATGAAAAATCCTAAGACTTAACAGCAGTTTGTTGTGTGGTTGTGGGTAACTTCTCAGGTTTCTAGTCAAGGTATTCCCCAGACTCCCTCTGAGTGCTGGGTTAAAGAGACAAGATTTGGCTCTCAAGTTCCCCAGTATTGTGCTAAGCTTTTACCTTGCTTATGGACCTGAGTCACTTAGGCAAGGCTTAAGATGTTCAAGAAGATTTGAAGATCATGATTAAATCTTGGAAGAATATTGTTTATAACCAGTTAAAGTATGTTTAGAGTTTGTATGTTCCAACTGGTGTTAGAGGCTGGCTGGCTCATTCCAACTCCAGTTATTGGAAAAAAAGAAGTCTTCCTGAAGACTTACCTGCTCTAGCTAGTGTTTTTTTCCCCTTGGTTATTCTTCAGTATGTATTGTAGCAACATTTGTGTGTCTCCCTGGTAGAAAAAAGGAGGCAGAACTGTAAGAAGTCTGGGAAAGTAATGGCACAATGAAGATAAAAGGGCAGGACTTACTTAATGGTTCGTTGCTGCCAAAACTGACAGCCACAGCCATGCTCTTCCTTGCCTTTGGATACTCTAGCTCTCACAGTTTACTGTTTAATACACCAATTCAGCTTCAACTGACAAGAGACATCTGGTTAGGTCAACATTCTCCTACCACGTGTGAGTTGAATCAGCATTACTGTGTGGTCTGATAAGCAGCAGAGCCCAGGTAGAAGCAAAGTGAGAAGAAGACAGCTGATCCTGACTGACATCATTTTTCCAGCTGAAAGTGAATAGATTGGCTCAGCTGCATTATCAGAATGCACTGAGGCAACTTGTTCCTGAGGATAACTGCATAAAGGAGGGCTTTAGGTGAGCACAAGCGACTGCTTTATAGATAAGCGTGTAAATTGCTCTTGTTCCAAAGGCATAGTGACTTTAATCTTGCACTGTTTTGCAAAGCTCTGTTAAAGTTGCTCACTCAGTTGTTTTTTGCTGTTTCAGTTTTGCTCTTTCAGTTGTTCGGTTTCTTCTTACCTGCTGGTCTCTAAAACAGCTATAATAAAAATAGGATTGGAGTGAGGAGTCCATTTTCCACTTGCCAAAAGCATCATGAATTTCAGTCAGTGGTCAGACTTTGTTGTGTTCTCCCCTGCAAAACCACCCCGTTTCCCCCACTCAAGCCTGAAACTTGTACAGACTAGCTTGAAAATGAGGTTTAGCAAGTACTCCTTCCTTCCTGTCCGTTTCCCCTTCCTTTTCCTTCTCAACAGAAACTTTGCATTTGGGAGCTGAGAAGCAAGTAAATGTTTTTACAGACTTTACAGTTTACTAGTGTTCTGCAATATGCTGGTGATTTTAGGGGTTTAGTTTTGTGATGCTGCTGTATCCAGTGGTGGTAAATACCAGGATATTCCTTCATTCTTGTTGGGTAGGCAGCAGTAGCACTTAGTGAAAACTCTTCCCCATTTCACATAGGATTGCTCATGCAAACTCAACCAGCATTCTTCCTACACCAACCAACAAACACTGATAGGTTTCTGACACGAGAGGGAGAGGAAGGAACATTTAATTACCAGTACTTTATCCACAGCTCAAAGTATAGGGAACTGTGAAACTTTTCAGTCTCCTTTCGTGGATAATACAGACATGCTTGTGTTTTCTAGTTCTTGTTTCCTTCTGAATTGCTAATGCAACAGCCCTTTCCTGCTATTGAGTCTCTTTATATATAAATCCACTTATGTGTGGTAGCAAAAACTGAGCTTACATGTAAGGTAGAGATCTTTACTTCTTTGTTTAAATACACTGTCTTAAAACTACATGAAAAGTAAGTGTAGAATATGATGCCAAAAAGTGTTCTGAATAGAACTTTGTGTACATTATCTGCAAGGCATCCACTCTTTTCGTAACGTTTTTGTTGTTTGCTAACATTACTGTAGGGCTTATGATTAATAACACACTGCAATGTAGTCATTACTGGAAGTGCTTTTTAAGCTTAGGCAGTGGCACTGTGGTGGCCCAAGACTGACGGTACAGCCAGCCTGCACCATGACCCTTTCAGTAGTTCTTCATCTTGTTTAGCACTGTAATCAGGACTTGCATTAGGCTGTCTGGCTTCATCTAGGTTGTCTTTTAACACCTGAATTTGTCCTTGCAACATAACTTGCTCTTCAATTAGCAGAAACTAAATTTGGTTCCAGGATGTCTTTTCATCCTGGGTGTCGCAACAGAACTGTCAACTGGTGTTTTAACTTTCAGGATCTTGATTATTTCGTGAAAGTGTATGACTTGTATTTAACCTGAAAGGTACCTTAAAAAACACCTCACAGCCAGGGTAGAGTTTGTTGCACTTTCTGTCAAGTACTAAATTGGTGCAGTATTTAAATATATACTGTAGCGAAAGGAGCATCAAAACGCATTAATGTGTGCCATCCAGCAGACCTGGGACTATAGTTAAAATAATGAGCTGGGAAATGACCTATTCAGGTTCTTAAATAATGCCTGTTGCCAAATAGCTACAAATCCAGGCCCATAGCAGCTCTGTTGTCTACCTGCCTTAGGACTTCAGGGATTTATAAAGTGATTCAGAGCAGCCTGAGGAGAAGGACTTGGGGGTGTTGGTTGACAAGAAACTGAACATGAGCTGCTTCAGTGTATGCTTGAGCCCAGAAAGCAGCTGTGTCCTGGGTTGCATCAAAAGGAGTGTGATCAGCAGGTCGAGGGAGGTGATCCTTGCCCCTCTACTCTGCTCTCCTGAGACCCCACTTGCAGCACTGTATGCAATTCTGGTGTCACCAGCACAAGAAGGACATGGAGCTGTTGGAGCAAGTGCAGAGGAGGCCACGAGGGTGATCAGGGGCTGGAGCACCTCCCATATGAAGATAGGCTGAGAAAGTTGGGGCTGTTCAGCCTGGAGAAGAGAAGCTGTGTGGGGGCCTCAGCAGCTTCCAGTGTCTGAAGAAGGTCTACAAGGGTGGTGGAGAGGGGCTCTTCATTAGGCACTGTAGCAATAGGACAAGGAGTCATGGGTTCAAACTGAAATAGGGGAAGTTCAGGTTAGATACAAGAAATAAACTCTTCACTGTGAGGGTGCTGAGGCGCTGGCACAGGGTTCCCAGAGAAGCTGTGGCTGCCCCATCCCTGGCAAGTGTTCAAGGCCAGGCAGAACAGGGCTTGGAGCAGTCTGCTCTAGGGGAAAGTGTCCCTGCCCTTGGCAGGGGGTTGGAACTGGATGAGCTCTAAGGTTCCTTCCAGCCACTCTGATTTTATGATTTTTCAGTGATTAGGTGCAAGCATTCATTTCAGTTGGGTGCCTCCATAGCTTGGGCCTTCATTCACGTTTGACTAGGAATTCTGCAAGTGTGTGCGTGTCCCTCTGGCTTGCTGGGCATGGCACGCAGTTTTGTTCCAGCAGCTCATTTACAGGAGGGGTTTTTTTTTGCAAACCATGCCCTTCAGCTATCCCTTGACAGCATTTTGGCTGGAGCTTGTTCCTTGTAGGTCTGTGTGTGTGTTATGCCATCCCAGAGTATGTTGCTAGCATGCTCCTGGCTGCACTGGTCATATGGGTGCTGCTGCCTGCTGAAAGAACTATGGGATAGCTGCCCACATTCCCCTGCAGTGCTCTGGGACAAACATAGGCGCTGGAGCAGGGGTGGGTGCAGATGTTTCTGTTGCTACGTGATCTTCTTGTATAAAAAGAAGCTGCACAGTTAAGCTTTACATCCATAACGTGCATTGTTTTACTAGGTTAGTGGTGGGGCAAGGGAGGGCTCGCTAGAACGTGGCACTGCTTGCAGCTAATAAAAAAGTCTGCTGGCCTCCGTGTGTTTCTCTGTCCCTGTGTTGGCGGGAGTTGAGAGGGTTCCAGAGGGAACATTTATAGCCACTGGCAGGGAAAGATTGATCTGTGTGGATGTATCGCTGGCTTTTCTTGGGGTGTCCAAAAATAGGTATCATGAAGTTATTCATTCACTTTCCTAGCAAGCACTTAGATGGAGGGAGAGAGTATTTCATCTCGGCAGTCTGGAGCAGAACCTCCTCTGGAGGCGTGCGTAGTTGGGCTGTCTCAGGCTTTCTTGGGGAAGAACCATCACGAGGTGTGTTCAGAACCTGTCACCAAACAGTGAAAAGGGTTTCTCTCTGTCTCGGATGGCAACTCCCAGCGCTGAAAATCAGCATGTGTGTTAATTTACTGAACTATTCTATCACTTCTTGTAGCTTCATCTCTTCGTTGCAGAACAGAGATACATGCGTATAGCTTTTGTTCCAAACACTGGAACAAGCATGGCTTTCCAAGCATTTTCAGGTTTCAGCCTAGTTCTATCTCCATGATCTGTGGTTGCTCAATGTGCAGAACTTGCACTGATGTAGCATGTGTGCCCATAATCCAGAACTCTGTTCTTGTTCTGACACCCCAGAAAGTGTTCCAAACAAGCAGCAATAAAGAGCACTTTGGGCTCTGGCATTTGGCAACCTTCATAGGGCTACTTTTCTGACTCCTGATTTCTTTCCTGCTAGTTTGTGTCTGCAGTCTCCAGAGCAGTAACTTTGAGTTATCTCCAAAATGGAGGAATTCCATCAAGACCAAGGAATAGTGACACAAAGATAAATAGGTGAGGGAAAATAAGCATAGGTAAATGTGGCCAATAAAGTGTCAGATGAAGGAAAGGTTATAATTGTACCAAAGAGATAAGAGCAGGCTCAACTTTCTTCCTTCCCTCTCTTCTTTCCTTTCTTTTTCTTTCCATCCTTCTGTCCTTCTCCAGATAACAAGTTAGAGGAGCTGGAATGTAATACAATGAATGATGCTCATGCCATGACGAAGAAGGCCAGCTGCTCAGCTTAGAAAGGCAGAATCTGAAATCACAAAAATGAAACTGGCAGATTGGGTATTCTGTCCCAGACAGCTGGAAATGGCTATTGCCCACTTGTAGAATTAAAGCTAAGGAGTATATTTTGCAGATTGTCCTGCTGGATGCGTCTTCGTGAACTAAAGAGAAATTTCCTTTTATTACCTTCTCTAATGCTGCAGCAGCATTCAAAAGCCAGGGCATTGTACAGATTATATTATTAGACAAGTTAATATCCACCTAACAACTGTGATGATCAAGAAAGTAATAGAAACTTAAGGAAAGTTTTGTAGTGTAACAGGCCGCATGAATCTGTGTGCTTAAATTAGTGCGGATAGGCCACATCATGATGGTATTTCTCTAAGTGTTCTTCAGTCTACAAAAGCGATGGCATTAGCTGCTCTTAGAGTGTGTGAAAGCTATCTGAAGTAAGCTTATTTGAAGGTTGCTTTTGGCTGGCAGTTGCATTTACTGTCCATATTGTTTAGACTACATCTCACCGAAGGTATGGAGAAAGTAACCTTGCCTACTTTCTTCTATTTCAGCATTTTCTCCTAAAATTCCACATTGTTCCAACTAGTTTGGCTTATGGGTGATTTGTTAATTTGTTTTCAATGAACAAGTCAATGTTTAGGGTTCTCTCTTACCTTGTTTAAAATCAGTTTAAAACACGTGAATGATAATCATATTTTGCCTAAATTAAATTGCACATATTAAAAAGAAACAGTTCACAACCATGGGAGTCAGTAGTTGCACCAGAAGGTTGCTCTGGAAGATTATTAACCTATCATAATTTGAGCTGTGACTGTGCTAAGGCAGAAGAGGGTCTGGAAAGGAGCTATCAAAACGTGATATGAACTACCTTATTGCTTCTCTTAAGTAATGTGTCTTTAAATATAGAATGTAGTACATTGTTTATGTCCAGCTTGAGAAAAATGTTACCATCCTACACGCAAATTTTAGTCCTTTTAAAGCCAATGCCATACATTCCATCAAGTTCTGCAGAGGTGCAATTTCCCAGTTGCTTCCTTATTCTACATAGCTCATGAGAGCTGTAGAAACACCTTGTGTAAGTGGTGTTTGGTTGCTATCCGTGCTTGGAGCTGCTGCAGTTAGCCTCTGCTCTTTGGCGTTTGTTGAGGATGCTTCAGGGGTTTGTTCACTTCCTTGCCCAGGGAACATTGCCCAAGTCCTAATTTGGAAGTTGGTGAAATTACAATCCTGGATAAAAAAAAAGTTGGGAGTTTTAGAATGCCTGTAGCTTATTTCAGTGTGTGTTTAAAGTGTTAGCAAGGAAAATTAAGTAGGCTTTTCATAAGGAGTTAAGTTACCCAATTTGGAAGGTGTTGCTGCACGAGGGAAAACTACATAGGTTTCCAGTGGATGAGTTGTGAGTTTGATGGTTTAAACCCATTGCAAATGCAGCAAGTATTCCTCAGACATCCCCACCACTTCCCTCATGGCCTTCATTCTTTCTTTTTCTCCTTTGTCCCCATGATGCCCTCACCTGTCTCATGTACCCTCTGCTGTTCTTGCTTGAGCAAGGGCCTGTGCATCCTTCAGCGTGTTGGCAGCTGCAGTGTGGCAAAGTGGGGGTGAGCCTGGCACACCCCACAGGGATGAGCCCGCTTGTCCTTAGCACCAACACTGATGCATGCACTCTCTGCTGTTTATACAAAGCTTCAGTAATGTATTTGAGTCTTTGGCCTTTCAGACTTTACTGAAATTGACTGGGGAAGTGCAAAAGCATTTAGGGAGCCTGGGAATGGATAAGCCAGAAGAAAGCCAACTTCATGGAGCAGCCAGACCAGAAGGTCATTTAAAACAGTTTTAAGAAGCCAGAGTCTAATTTGAAAAAGCTCATGCTAGCATAGTTTCAACATTTGTAGAGGGAGTGAGTTGTGAATGCTGACTTACACCAACCCAGGGCTGACACTGAGAGTATGTTCTGACAGATACTTTTCCTTCCCAGATATTGTTTCTTTTTCAGTGCAAAATAAGGGTTGAAGTTGTACAGAATCATTATAACTTTGGGGTACCATTTGTTTTGTATACTCAGTGTAAAGGACTTCACTCTTTCAAATCCCTTTAAAAAGACTTCTGAGTTACAGTACTCTGACTGCTTTTAGTACATTTAATCTGTTTCTTCAGTACTTGTGAAGAAATCTGTGCTACCTGTTGAACTGTTGTATAATTTCCTATAAACCCAGTAGGCATGGGATGACATACAAAGTGTTTCTTTGCTTCATGTTTTTGTTGCATACATTGGTCCAACAGCAGGGGCTATCAGGGAGAAACTTTGTTTAGCATTCGAATACAATTAAATGTTCCTTTGTTGTCCGAAAGAGATGGCATTATGACCATGTCAGCTTTTATTAAATATGACTAAAAGATCAAAAAGCGTGATCTGATATGTTTGCTTTTTTGATACTCAAGACTGAAACTGTGCATTATTTCTGACTGCTGCTCATACTGTAAGTTGTTTTAGGATAAAACCTGATGTGATGTTTGTACCAAGGCGTTATGTAAAAATGCACCTGTTTGATACAAAAGTGAATTACCTTGAAAGCTGCAGTTATGAGCAGTTGAAAGCTGCAGTTACGAGCAGTGCTTTTTGTTCACTGTATGTTCCAGTTGAACCTCATCTTTCTTGAGAAAAGGGGAAGGTATTTTCGCATGGCCCCTCTCTTTCATTTAGAAATGGGGGAAGGAAGAGTCTGTCTTAACAGATTATTTCATTGTCAGTCTTGATATCCTGAAAGTTTGGGGGTGTCTTGCTGGATTTTATTTTTATTATTATTAATATAATTATTATTGTTGTTATTATTTGCATCAGTCTGTAGTGGTTATGACAAAGTGATAATAGACTCTTTAGAGAACTGTCAGAGACATTTTCCTTCCACAGGCCTTTAACCATAACTGACAGTGTTATGTATATCGTGCTCCCCAATGGCATAGTTTAAATACAGTAGGGGAATAAGGATCTCTGTCATAATGTTGAGTAATCTCAGGCTGGAACAGGCCTCAGGAGGTAAATTCTCTGGGGTTTGAGTGCTGCTGATGCTGTTGTTTTGGGGAGAGAGGTTAGCTTCTAAAAGTAGGCAAGGATTTCAATGGAATCAAAGATGAATGGAGGGGAACTGGTTTTGCTCTTGTCTCATTTGGGGCATTACAGTATTGTAGGCTTTACAAATCTTCCATTAAACTGTTTGTTTGAGGCTGGATTTTAGTGTAAGGCTTCAGATGTGTACTGAACAAATGAGGACTTTTTAGAAAGCCTAGTCAGTCTGGTTTTGGAGAAGCAGTTATCTCTGCATCTAGGGGCAATACTTTTGCTGTGTTGAGCAGCTTAAACATCAGTATTCAGTGTGCAGTTCCAGCAGATTCTCACAAACATCTGCTACGCAGTGCTTACTGCATTTGCTTTATTAGATTTTTCATTTAAATGAGCTGTGTTTCGAAATTAAAATGCTATATTCTGTAGTACATTTAGATACATTCTTAAGTTGCTGTTGTAATATGCAGTGGTCATATTTTTATGTAAGATATACCTGTAATTGATTATGAAAGTTTTCTTTGTTTGGAGGACTTGCTGCTAATGACTACTTGTGGCTTTTGGTGTACATATGAACATTAGTTGATGGCTTCTTTTGAGGATGCTGTTGACCTTATCTAGACTTGCAGTTTCGCTGTCCAGCCAACCCTGCAAATGGAATTAGCATAAAGATTAGGTCTGAGTGTGACTGAGTTAGAGAGGCTGTCTCCCAGATTATGTACTGCAGGATACAAGTGATACTTGCAGCACAGGTTCGCCTGCTGATAGATGAAAAATTGAGGCTATTCAGCAGTCAGAAACAGTAAAATCATCAGCCATCGTCTGATCAGTGATTTAAAAACAACACAGGGTTTGGGAAAATTCCGAATTTTCAGCTGGCAAATGTTCTCAGATCTTTTCCCTACATGTTTTAATGTCAATACATGATGGCATTTAACATACTTCCTCAGTTCTCATTGTCTCATGGTTTGATTTCTAAGCCTGCTCACCATTGCTTCATGCTAGGTGTCTTTTTTTCTAGGAATGTGTTTATTTTTAGTTGTGTTAAATACTCTATTAAACATAGCAAAGAATAAAGTAAGTAGCTTAAAATTGCTGGGGTTTATAGAAATTGCCTAATATGTACCTTTTACTGATACCTTTCCCTTTCCTCTGCTTTCCCTTTTTTAGATGTGTGGTCAGCAGGCTGTGTATTGGCTGAACTGTTACTAGGACAACCAATCTTTCCAGGTGACAGTGGTGTGGATCAGTTGGTGGAAATAATCAAGGTATGGAATTTTAAGTGTTGCTTTGACTGCATTATTCCTTGGGAATCAGCATGAAAGCATGCATTGGTATAAACTTGCCAACATACAAAATTCTGTCACCATTGTACAGGGTGCTGTGTGTAAACCATGTTTGAGAACACTTGTCATGATCTTTGTTTGCACCTCTTGCAGTCATGCATAATGATATATCATCTTTTAACTATGCAGGGTGGGGGGTTTCCTCTCTTAAAGAATTGCACTTCCAGTGTGCTTGGAAATAGTGCTTACATACTGAGCCAATATTTATTAATGTGTGATTTTAATTCTTTAAGAATCTGGCTCTTTTTCCTTTGTTGTATGCAGTTGGTACTTGGCTTTGAAAACGGTGTTATTAAATCTCCTTGTGCCAGATATGTAGCCTTCTTCTCTTCCTTCCTTCCTTCCTTCCTTCCAGCTCTTGGAGGTGAGAGGTGAGACAGGCCACTCCTTTTTGCAGATGCAGAATCAAGAAATTTAGGGCAAAAAGATCTTCCACCTGAAGAGTCTTGTTTTTCAAGTGGAAAGGCCTAATGTTTCAGAATACATAACATTTGTGTATCACTTGTGTCCAAACACATCTTGATTGTTTTGTTTGGTGAGCTGTGAATATTCTGTGATTTCTCCAATTAGAGGCATGGAAGACTAATTCCAAGTTGCATCAGTTTACACAAGAAACACAAGTGGAAAACTAGAGTTGCTCTCAGAAGTAGGGCTGGTGATGGCATAAGTGACATTTTTATCCTTTTAAGAAGTGTCTTGGAGCAGTGTGCTGCTTTCTGCTATACTGCTTTTGCAAGACATGACGTGGTCCCTGTGGACACTTCAGGTGGCCAGAGTTTCTCAGGAGTTTATGCTGTAATCTGTGGTGTTTGCCTTCCAACATGTTCAAAAAGTCCTGTTTTGCTTCTTTATTAATCTCTTCAATCTTGAGGAATTAGATCCAGTAATGTTTTTGTAATTGTGACTGTTTATATAATGGTGAAATTCCTCTAAGTCCTTCTGTGGCTTGATCAGAAATCTGAGAGTAGAGAGGACTTACCAGCAAAACCAGAGTGCTTTGCCCTAGCACTCCTTTGGTTTTACAATGTGGAGTGGAAGTAAAATAATCAGGAACTAGATGTCCTCTCATGATTGACATACTTGCCAAGCAAAGACTCTGGTTAGGTTCAGGGTTTGCTAGAAGCTCTTATCAGTTGGATGTTCTTCTGTGATGGGGTCACAGCATTGGTGGATAAGGGAAGAGCGACTAACATCATCTGCCTGGACTTGTGGAAGGCATTTGAGCCCAGCACAGCATCCTTCCCTCTGAACTGGAAGAGCATGGATTTGATGGATGGACCACCTGGTGGGTAAAGAATTGGCTGGATGGCTGCACACAGAATTATGATCAATGGCTTGATGTCCAAGTTTAGATCAGTGACAAGTGCTGTTCCTCGGGTCGCTACTGGGACCAATCTTGTCCACCATCTTCGTTGGTGACATGGACACTGGGACTGACACACCCTCAGCAAGTTTGTGATGACACTGAGCTGCATGATTCAGTTGATACGGTGGAGGGAAGGGATGTGATTCAGAGGGACCTTGACGCGTTTGTGAGGTGGGCTGATGCCAACCTTATGAAGTTCAACCAAGCCACGTGCAAGGTGCTGCACCTGGGTCAGGGCAATCCCAGGCACATCTAAAGGTGGGCAGAGAAGTGATTCAGAGCAGCCCTGCGGAGAAGGACTTGGGGGTGTTGGTCGATGAGAAACTGAACACGAGCAGCTTCAGTATGTGCTTGAGCCTGGAAACCCCCCCATATGCTGGGCTGCCTACCCAGAGCATGAGCAGCAGGTTGAGGGAGGGGATTCTCGCCCTCTGTTGCTCTCTGGGGAGACCCCCCTGCAGTCCTTATCCAGCTCTGGGGCAACAACACAAGAGGGACATGGAGCTGTAGGAGCGAGTCCAGAGGAGGCCACGGAGGTGCTGCGAGGGCTGGAGCAGCTCTGCCCTGGAGACAGACTGAGAGAGCTGGGCTGGTTCAGCTTGGGGAAGACCGGATAGCATGCTTCTGGTACCTAAAGAAAACTGAAGAGGAACTTTATGCTTTTGTAGCCTCAGTACAGTTGAAGACATACGCAATTCTGCAGCATAAAAGTTGCCAGAAGTGTGAAGTCCTAGGCACAGCATAAAACATGAGGTTGTATTAAATTCGATTTAGGATTCATTAAAAAAAACACGTTTTTACAGATGGTGACCACCTCTTCCATTTGCTGCCATAGAATACTACTATTTAAAGCTTTTAATGTTACACAGACTTACTTTAATGCTTGCTGGCTGTAGGAGAGGCAGAGCTGTGGGATCTGAGAGTTGTAGAATGGCAGTGAACTTTGTAGGTTGCAGGTTGGAACCTGTGAGCTGCTGTTCAACTACCTTGGAGTTGTTCTTTTTGATACTTTCCTTGGAACTGTCTGAAACTGTGAAAGGCAGAGAAAATGCAGTAAACTCCCCCAAAGGGCCGTAGTGAAATATTTATCCACACATTTGGAAACACATGATTTTCATCCCTTAAATTTACTTGGTTCCACTGCAGGAGAGGTCAGCTTAGAAACTTTTCTCTTGCTTCCTGTCAGTTCAGGATGACTGAGTCACAGTCACTGTCATAGAACTTGAGCCAACATAAATCTTTCAGCTGTCTCTTCAGTTGCTTACTCAGCTTTGATTATTCAGACTTAATTTCACAACGCAGCAGTTGGATGTTACACCTGGGTATGGAGGGTTTTCTTGCATTAGGCTGGAGAGTGACTTCCAAATGCCATGGCATTAAACTAGTCCTTTGTTCTCATGCAGTTCTTGGTGACATCCCCTCGGTAGCTGTGTTTATGAAGACAGAATTCTTGGTCTGTGTCAGTTGGTACGGCTCGTCCTTTCTGCAGGCTGCATGCCCAACATCCACAGTCCCTCGCAGCGTCAGAAGCGTTCTTGGCTTTTGTCAGATTTTGAATTGCTTTCAGCAGTCTTCGTGTAGTTTCATTTCACTCTTGCGCGTTCTTCTCCATCCAGTTGTACCTGGAGCCTATGGCATGTTTTCAAACCGCTCTGAAAAACTGTGCCACTCTAGAACCGCAGGATCATGTTTATGTGAATCAAGAGACGGTCCCTTTCTTAGCTGCTTTTTCTCTTGTTCTTATGTCTTTAAAGACAGCCTTTCCAGATTTCTCAGTCTGGCTGGGACACATTGATCTTTTACCACTTACCCTGACAAAATGATATTCGATATGGGGAAATAACTGTCTTGGAGTTCCATCTGAAGAAATAATTTAATCCAAGTACATTCTTCTTGAATACTTATGCTATTACAGGAGAGAAATCATGTGCTGCGCTTTTTCCAAAGTTTGATCTCGAATGGTGACTCTTCCTCCTTATTTTTAGCTCTTGCTAGCTATTCTGATGTTCGGTTATCCCACTGCTGGGAATATCTCAAGTGGGTAACCCAATACATTCATTAAAATTCATGCCCCTGCTGGCTTTGGAGTGACATCCCCTTCAGAAATATGCTCAGTTGAGCTGAACGCAGCTGGAAAGAAGGATCCCTTTGACCACGAGAGGGGTTTTTTGGGAGGCAGTCGGGGCAGACTCCTTCATAAATCTCCGACCTTGTGCACACAGCTTGCAGTGCAGCAGGGGGTGTCTTCAGACCTGCCATGCCCCCTCTGTGAAAGCTTGGGGGCATTCCTGCCCCCCCCAAGCTCTCCAGCACCCTGAAATGATCAAATTAAAACTGGCTGGGGTATCCCTCCCCAGACTAAAGCATCTTAAACCAGGATTCCTGTAGGCAGTGGTTACTTTCTTATTCCCTTTGCAAAAAGGGAATCTCGGAAGCATGATGGTTTTGTTTCCAAGGTAATTACTATCTTTGGAAAGGTTCCGTTTAGTATCCTTCCCCTCCTCCCCTCAAAATTGAAAATAAATAAATAAAGACTCATCTGTCAGCAGAAGGAAGCAGCAAGAATTGTCTGAGCAGCCCTGGGACACAGGGAGGACAGGAACTGCCAGTCTGCCTTGTGTTGTCTTCACCAGAAATGTTTTTTCCATATGCTGTAATCTTAGGAGTATGAGATGCATCAACTGACTTGTGAAAATGAGAGGAAAGGAGTTGCAGGGTTTCTGCCTTGGGTTTTTTGGTTCCTACTGGACTGAGTGATTATTCTTTGCACCAAAACTTGGCATTTCATGCTCATTTAGGGGAAATAAAATCATCTTCCTATAGTTTTCTGGGTTGGGGGGGAAAGGAGGAGAAAAGATATTAAAAGACAAACTCAATAGTATCAGGAATCCTATCCATGTGTAACTTTTTGGTCTCTGACAGTTTTACTGAGCCAGATGCTAAGTATAAACTGCAATTATAATATATGGCTCATGCTCAAATGTCAAGGTACTATTTTGAGCTCAGTTTTTGAAATAAAGCAAATTCAGTCACAGTAGTTAATGGGGAGAGAGGAGCCGTCTGTTCCGGGAGAATAAGCAGTAGGAGAACGCCTTTCATTTTATTGGATGTGGTCCTGTGCTGTGGACCTGCCTCAGCGGCTTTCCCATGGTCCTCTCTCCTTGCCCCTAAGGGAAGACTCCTGGCATTTTAATTCCCTCATGTCCCCCCACATCACAACTTGGCTGTTCCTGTGCTTCAAGTAATTTTTCCCTTCCAGTGCTTGCAGGCAGGCAGTGTAAAAACGTTGATGAGCAATTATAGTCATGTCAGCAGTGACAATGGGTTTCTTCCTCTTCCTGATGTATAGCTGCTCTCGTGTTTGTGAATAGAAGAAATCTCTATATTTAGTTGCCTTTCATTTGGTTTGACAAGAGAGTGTTGTGAAAGAAAGTGTATATAAAACAAGTAAGTTTCTTTTCTACCGCAGCCCTCTTGACATATTACTTCAAAAGTTGACCCGTGTTTACTGCTTGAGATGTCTACACTGTGAATTTTCTCAATAACAATTTGGCACACCTCTCCCAACTTTCTGAAGAGGTGCAGACATGTTTGTGGTAGTATTAATTATGCCATCTGCTAAGCCATGCACACCAGACTTCCTGGAGCATGATTCCTCATAAACTTGCTCTGTTTTCCCAGGGATGATCACTGTACCACCATGTAACCATGGCTTTCTAGAGGTTTCTGATTTAAATAACCACCTTCCCCCTCTCCAGTTCAGTCATTACCAGCTGAAGCTTCTGAACCCTTGGTGTCCCTGTGCTTTTAACTGGTTTTTACATTTGGGCTAAGATTTGTCAGTAATGATGGTTTGTTAGAAAGGGCCTTTATTCCACTGGGGCTTATTGAGACCATTGCAGTTGCCCCTTCCTCCTGTATTGCTCAGTGGTGTGGGTATGGTCATAAACAACTTTGTGCAGTTTTGCAGAGTGAAACCAGGTGTGAACAGCAGCTGTCTTTGGTACTGGGGTGTAACTAAGGTGTCTTTTGGAGCTGAATATCCTCCTATTTAAATTTACTTAGAAGAACATAAAATGAAGATCTTTATTTGTAATCCAATTCAGGGTTTATTCCAGATTCATAGGTCTCTGGTTCTTGTTTGGTAAGGATGCCATTACTGGGACATGATAGCTTTTCTCCAGTTGCTCGATAAACATATCATTACCCTTCCTTTGTGAACCTGTTCCTGGGATAAAACCTATCTGGGGAGCTTCATCCATTTACAGATTAATGTCAAAGGAAAACTTTCAAGAAAATACTTGGGAAACCTTTTCTGTTCAGGTTTTGTCCTAAGAGAACCAGAGCAGTTTCTGTCTTCTCAGCAAGTGTATTCTCTAGTTAATTGTAGATATTCCTTTATTTTTACTCAAGGGATGATGGCTCTGACAGGCAGGAAGGAAGAGCAAAGCTAGTTCAGCTGTTGGCTTCATTTGCAGGAAAATCCCTGCACAGAAATACCTGAAGGGAAGGAGCAAAGAGGGAGCCAGGCTCTCTGCTTTGGTATCCTGTGACAGGACAAGAGGCAGTGGGCGCAAGTTAAACCATGTGAAATTCAACCTGAACACAAGTAGATGACATTTTTTTAATGTGAGGGTGGTCCAACAGTGGAACCTGTTTCCCATCGAGGCTGAGAAATCTCTGTCCTTGGATATACTCAAAAGCCATCTAGACATGGTCTTGGGCAACCAGCTCTCGCCATTGCTGCTTGTACAAGGAGGTTGGACCAGGAGACCTCCAGAGGTCCCTTCCAACTTCAGCAGTTCTGTGATACTGTGAAACCTCTCTCCAAGGAACATCAGCTCCATAGTATTTTCAGAGTATAGCAAGAGCAGCTGTTTCATGGAGTAATTCTGCCCAAAATGTGCAAATTTATGCTTCTCCTTTGCATTTCAAATGGAAAGAGCAGTCACATACAGACAGGGTTTTTCTTTCAGAAGAGAGTTTTGCCCAATTTTGCAGTAGCTTAAATGATTGCTGTTACTCATCAAGGTTACTTGAATGTATTCCTAATATACTGAAAACTCAGTGTGAGTAAGTGAGGTACAGTTTCAAAACCATGCAGCTGACAGCGTTGGTTCATTGAAGAAAGGTCCACTACAAGATCCCTTCCAGATATGTCAAGTACTGGTACAATTTGATAGCTTGTCAGTTGATTTCATCCCACGTTTTTCTTTTGGATTGTGAATTAGTCACAGACTTCCATTCTTCTTCCTGCCTATTTTCATTTACCCTATATTTTCTGTTTGGTTTTGGGTTGGGTTTTTTGGGAAGATGGGGCTTGGGTTTTGGGTTTTTTTGCTTTGTTTTGTTTAGGGGTTCTGTTTGGTTGGTTTTTGAGGGGTTTTGGGTTATTTTTTTATTTTTGCTCTAATCTGCCTTCGCTACAGTCTGGATGCACAATCTGACTTTAGAATCCACAGAGAATAAAGTAAATACACTGAGTGGCTGATGTAAGTCACTTTTCCTTTTGTACAGTTACTTTGTGTGTCAGAGGCTGCTATGGAACTGAAAGGGCAGGTGATTTCTTCTTTCAGCTAGCATGATCTCTCTTCAGTACCTGTTTTTTAAAGCATTCATGAGACCTTCAGCACTGTTGCTTAAAAGGGTGTTCTTAAGAGTTGCTCCCTTCCATCATAGAATCATAGAATAGTTAGGGTTGTAAAGGACCTTAAGATCACCTAGTTCCAACCCCCGTGCCATGGGCAGGGACAGTCATGTGGAGTTACAGCTGTGTCTTTAGTGAAATAGTGTATGAAGAGACATTGCCCTTGCCTATCTCATCTGAGTTCTCTCTAAAGCTACAGGCATGCTTTAAATGAAGATACTTGCACCACGTAGGCTTCTGTTCTGAGCAGCCTTGGCAACCGAGCCAGTTTGCTGAATTTTGGCTATATTTAAAGAAAACCCCCAACTACTCTTTGCCTCTTCTCAGGAAGGCTATTAAAGGAATTTTGGAGGAGGAGGAAGAGGGTAAAGAAGGTAACCATGCGTTTTACGAAGTCCTGTGTATACCAGGGAGGCCTAAAACTTCGCCTTTAGAAATGGTGGGAGAGCAATACAAGTTATCCCTAATCGTTCAGGAATTTAACTAACCGAAAATACTTCCTAGGTTTTGGAAGTGGCTTTTGTCCTGAACCAGAATGAAAATAGTATTTGCAGGAGTGAAATCTCCTCATCTTCTACAGCTGGCAGACTTTGGTGGTCATGAAAGCTTTGAGAGTAGCACCCTCCTGGCAAGGCTGGCAGAAGGGTGGCCAGTGCCAGACAGAAAACCAGCAGGGAAAGGGCATGTTTTCTTGTCAACTCTTTTTCCTTTGGAAGTTGAGCAAAATCTGCAGAACCCTGCAAACACCCCCTTTTCTACCACGTGAGGAAAGCTGTAGAAGCTGAGTAGATAGGACTCGGTTAGCAGTGGGAAGGTAGAAGTTACGTGATCATTCATTTCATACTTGTCAGTTAAATCTCTTATCCAAGAAGCAAGTGCCTGAACAAGCTGCAGGGTTTATTTCCTCTGCTGCTACTGTTTAATCAAAAGATTGCTTTGTGCGTAGGTGCTTTAGTTTGTGTTTTACAGCTCGTGTTGTAAATAATAGATGCCAAGTTCCTTTCATAATACCTGATGATAGTTCCTCTGTTGCACAAATGAATTAAACAGCAATTAACTTGCTCTTTTCCCCCTTTACCTGAGTCTTTAGAGTGCATTTGTGTAATCTTCACTATTCTAACAGAATGAAAATGTTCAGTACCAGAGTATGTAATCAAATGCTTCTTTATCAAGCAGTAAGGTAGAGTGCTAACGTCATGTTGTAGATCATGCGTTTCCTGCTGGTGACAGTGCAGTCTCATGAGATGAGGTGGTAACATTATGCTAATCTCTATGGCAAGGGATTTGTCACAGGGTGAGAGTAGCGTGGCTACAGGGTTCCAATAGGAAGATGAACCTGAGCTCAGCATAGAGGAGTGGCTCCTCTGCCTGCAGCCCTCTACACTTCTCTCTGCAGAACAAAAGGATACCCAGTAACTGGGTGCAAGCAGAAAACAACAGGACTCCTTGAACAGGCTTTGCAGTTTTTATATACAGGTAGAAGGCAATGGCTCTCTTATGCTTAGTGCTAACTGTACAGAAAGCACTAATGCCATATGTCTGTCCGGCTTATTCCCTGAGGGGATTTCTGAAATCCTTTCAAAATCTATCCACCCTAACAAAGGGGTGTGTGATTGTGTGTTACTTCTACAACTACTCATTTGCATGTAAAAATAACATTGTACAGATTCTGGGAATGAGAAACACAAAGTTGTAAAAGTAGACCAGGGCTGGTATGCATTTTAGGTGCTTCCAGGTTAGGTTTAAATTAGGTTTATCTTCCATGTGGAAATATACTGGGACGGGGAACCACAACCAAAACCACACACTTTGGGGTGGGGGGAGAACCTGTCTGGCTCCCCTCAGTAGTAAGTGGCTGATCTTTTAAGCTCATCAGAGGTTCATGACTTGTAAAATGCAGTCTGTGCTACGGGTCTGATCCTTCATCAGCCATATGCAGCGAGCTGCAGTCCCAGAATGTGTTTGGCAGTACTGTTTTACAACAGTCTAATTAGAGTGAGCTCTCTTCCCCATTGAAATATCACTAAGTTTGAGAAAGGTGCTTGAATTTCGTAAACGACTGTGGAAGATAATGAAACTTTTGGCACTTAGCTTGGAGTATGAACTCAACTGCAAGCAAGAGTCTACTGAAGCTGGAGCGAGGGCTGCAGAGATGATTAAGGGCCTGGAACATCTGTCATAGGAGAGATTGTAAGAGCTGGCACTGAGGCAGAGAAGGCTTGGGGGGGTCTTACCAATGTGTATAAAATACCTGGTGGAGGGAACAGAGAACAGCCAGGCTCTTTTCGTGGTGCCTGCTGACTGGACAAGGGGCTGTGGCAAGAAGTAAAACAAGTGAAAATCCATTTGAATGCTATAAACCGCTCTTTTCCCTGTGAGGAAGGTTAAAGACTGGAGCAGGTTGCCCAGAGAGGTTGTAAAATCTCCTTCTATGGAGATGCTAAAAACCTAGCGGGACATGGTCTTAGGCAGCTGGTTCCAGCTAACCCTGCTTGAGCCAGGGGGTTGGATCAGAAGCTCCCAGGACAGGGAGGTTCATTCCAACCTAAACAGTTCTGCAGAAGTTCAGTTGTTTTGTTCTAAACACTGTATTAACTTACTAGTTACACAGATTGACTTCAGTTGTCTCAATGTATGATGGGTTATACTGAGCTCTTCATTACCATATGACTATGAAGCATACCAAAATGATTTGCCTTTTTTTTTCTCTCTCCTGTCTAGGTTCTGGGAACGCCTACAAGGGAGCAAATTAGAGAAATGAATCCGAACTATACTGAATTCAAATTCCCTCAGATTAAGGCACATCCATGGACTAAGGTGAGTCTATATGAACTGACTAATAAAGACATGTGGGCTCAAAGTAAAAATTGAAGGAGTTCAGTGGCTTGGTGACTGGCTTTCAGTCTAAACTGGGCACTCTAACTAAGCTGGGGACCTGGTAACTTCTGATGTTGAAAAGGAGAAGAAGCTATTGAAGCAGTGCACTGAAATGTCTGTTGGTCTGGGGTTTTTTGAGGTTGCCTACAGGTGTTGAAGGGGTTTTTTTAGTAATATGTCTATAGCAGATTGCAGTTTATTTAAATCCTGTCATGCTATAAATTGATATTCACAAAAGTCACCTGTAAATGAGAGAATGTTCCAGTGATAATGTGTGACATTTTCATAATGCTGGTACATAATGTGACACGGGCTGACAGTCACTTTCTTAACTGCTTCTGTCATAGATATTATTATATTTGTACTCCTATAGGGGTGCTGTTGAGGGGTTGGTTTTGCTTTCTTAAGGCTAACTAGCTTTCACAAGGAGACACTATTGCAATATATGCAAACAATATTATAACCTCCATGATCAAAGAGTAAACTGCTAGTATTGAAACAAATACATTGCCACACAGTTGAGCCATCTTCCATATGTCAAGGAATGAGTAATATTTGACTTGGGACACCGAAACAATTAATGGTTTAATTGGCCTCTTGGCTGTGGAATAAGTTAAATATAGAAGTTTAAGCAATTAAACCCTGGGTAGTTAACATTCTCTCTTTGCTGCTTGAGAAATGTCTGGTATAGTTGCAGTATATTCTCATCATATCTTAAAGACTCGGGTTTTATTCTGCTAAGAAAGCAGTGTGTGTATGTGGAAGGCTTGCATTCGTAGCTGAGCACATGTCCACGTCAGACTCTTCTGGACCAAATGCTCTGTGGTAGTAGAAACTCTGGATAAACTAATTGGAGTTAATTGATAGCAGGCATGTTCCTGATAGGTACATACCAGGCCAGGTACTTCTAGTCACTGTTATTGTGACAGATCCTCCGATGAGTTACGTGCTACTTCAGTTTTCCTTTTACCCACTGATCTCTCATTTGCATTTCCATATCAGAGTTTCTTTAAGTCATTTAAATGATTTATAATAGTATAAGAGGTAGTAAACCCAGCAAGGCTTTTTGATACCATATGCTAACAAGGGAAAACATTAGGGCAAATGAAATCCTTTGGAGTGGTCTCTGCAGTTTTGAATTGCATCAGCATTAAAGTCAGGAGAATAAGTCCAAAAGACTTATAGTACTGAATATTAGGGGCACATCTGAATTCCTGCAGTGAAGGTGTTTGGGTCAGGAATGGGTTAAATTTGTATGCAATGGAGTGCGGAGATGACCTGTAGGACACAGAGTTAAGCAAGCATCTAAGCTAGCTATGCAACTCATCTTCTGCCTGAATCATCTTTTAGGAATCCCTATGCACTTGATGGGCACTTAGACCACAACAGAGATCATCTGGCAAATACAAGCTTTAAGAAAAAATGAGACTTCTTCTGGAGTCTTTCTTCTTTCATATGAATGTTATTTTGGTCATTCTAAAGGATCACAAGTGAAACTGAGTCAATTATAAAGAATTGAGAGGAGCTTGCCACAAGATTAAATCTGCATTCTCGATTAGGGCAGAATCATTTCTGGGGAACTGTGCTTGCAACGTAGCTTTTGATTCTTGAGTCATTCTGCGCACAGCTCTTTTCTGGCATTGGCTGGGTGTAGCATAGCATTTAAACCAGCTTATTTACAATTGCATTACATGATACTTCATTTTTATGAGATCTGTACTTTTCTAATTCTACAAATGCTAAATTAGCAAAATGGATTATCCAGCATGGTGTTGGTAATGGTACTCATCCTCTCAGTGTATTACTTCTAAAGATCCTTTCCTTTCAACACTTGGAGCTCTGAAGGATTTAAATGGTAGTGTCACAGAGAATTGGTATTCCTTACCCAACTGTATTGGCATAACATGTGATGGCACATCAGTGGGCATATGCATCCTCTTGTAGCTTCCATAAAGCATGGGAGAAAAAGCACTGCTGACCCAGCTGTCTAATGAGCAGAAAAGGAATGACTGAGGAAGTGAAAGTTCACGTTTCTTTTGTTATAACTATGCATGTAACTAGAGTGCTACAGGGAGTTGCCAGCAAGGACTTGAACTTCAGGTTTCAGCCTCAAAAGCACAAGCCTTTACCATCTGGTGTCCTGATCTGCTACATTTGCTGTTACATGCTAGGTAAAGCGGAATGGCAGCTGGTGCTCTAGCAGTATGAAATAGGTTCTGGCTTTTTAAAGAGCTGGGCAAATTGTTTGAGACCGAATAAGGATGAGTCAGTACTCCTTGAGTCGTCCTTAGGAATATTGTCTCTCAGGTTCATTCAGTTTCAGGCCTAAATTGGTATTTTGAGCAGTTTTGTGGAAATTTGAAGTCTGCCTTCATAGATGTATCTTAGATTTTTCAGTAGAAGTGGATTGATATCATCCAAATACAGTATTGATATTCAAAGGGATGTAATAGTATGAAGACAGAGATTTCAAATTAACTGTGGTCCTTCTTCATAGATTAGAAGTCAAGCTAGCACTCAGTATCTTTCCATGCTGCAGCAATAATGCGAGTTCATAGTGCAAGCTGTTCTTGGACTGGTTTTTCAGTCTGTTGACAATTTGAAATTGAAATACTTTTGCAACTTAAGAGCTGGAATCTCTCAGTATAAAGCATACAGAGGCCTCTCTGTCTTCTCTCCAATATAGTTCTGTGTTGCCCAAGCACATGCATGTTTTTATACCAGTCCTGCACATGATGCAGATGATGATGGGAGTTCACTGTGTCCCTGGCTAACAAAAGAAAAGAGAATCTGAACTTTCCAGGAATCTTTTAAATAGTTCTTCCAAAATGGGACTTCTCTCTCTTCTGGCACCCCACACCACAACCCCAGCCCCAAAGGAGGAATTTGGGATATTTTGGTTCTTCTCAGAATACCAGAGTGGTTAATCTAGTAATGTAGCTGTTCTTTTCATCCCAACCTTCCTTTGTTTTCACTTAGTATAGAACATTTTTTATTCATAGAGATACATCCTACTACTTGTCTGCCTTGGTCAGCGAGTAAGTAGCATAAAGTTGTAAGAGAAGCAAGGGCTTGTCTTGTAAGGGCTGGGAATATCTTTTGACTGACTGATTCAATCAGGAGAAAAATGGGTAGGCTTTTAGACACACACTTGTTTGCCTGTCCATTTTTTCCAACTGTATCAGATCACTTGTCCTGGCTTCAGCTGTAACAGTCATTTTTCTCCTTCCCAGTAGCTGGTGCAGTGCTGTGTTTGGCCTCTAGTCTGAAAACAATGCTGATAACACCAATGTTTTTAGTTGCTGCTCAGTAGTGTTTACTCTGACCAAGGACCTTCTGAGTCTCATGCTCTGCCAGGGAGGAGGGGAAGTTGGGAGAAAGCAGAACCAGGACACCTGACACAAAGTAGCCAAAGAGGTATTGCATACCACAGCACGGCATGCCCAGTATAGAAACTGGGGGGGAGTTACCTGAAAGGCCGAGATTGCTGCTCAGGTCGGGCTAGGTATCGGTTGGTGGGTGCTGAGCAATTGTATTGTCAATCACCTGGGTTTATTGATGGGTTCTTTTCCTTTTCTCTTTTAGTTTTATATTCTCTCCCTTTTTTTATTCCCCTTATCATTATTAGGAATAGTATTACATTATATTTTAGTTATTGGACTGTTCTTAACCCATGGGGTTTACGATTCTCCTCCCCATCCTGCCTGGAGCAGGGGGTGAGTGGAATGGCTGCATGGTTCCAAGTTACTGGCTGGGATTAAACTACAACATCAGTGAATAAAAGTTACTATCCTTTCTGGAGGCTTGCTGCTGCTGTTTTTACTACGTCACAAGTTTCCTTCAGTGTCTTTCAGCTGCCTCAGTTCCTTGAGCCTTCCTTCTTCTTGGAAGTGCATTCTGATCTCTGCTCCTAATCTTTATACTTGTTTCTCTTCTGACTAAGCTTCATCTATATTTTATAAATGTGTGACTGGAAAGCCAAGAAGAAAATCTGAGATCAAGTGCAGGGTTGTACATCGCAGGGCTGTCGAAGTTCGGCTTTGGAGATTAGCTTTCTCTGAGGCCTTTTTCAGCCCTTTTGAAGAGGGGCAGGGACAGTAGGGTGGCTGACAAAAGGTCTAAATGCATGCTTCATAAGCTTGTGTTAGATAGGCGTTGCTTACCATGGCCCCAGTACAGCTGGCCTTTATCCTAGCATTACTCAGATGCTACCTTCAGATCTCAAATCCTTGGGGCTTTGAAAAACAAAGACAGTGCTGTGATTATTTCCAGAAACATGAAAAAATGTCCATGTACGCCGGCCCGCCTTTCTCCTTCTCTCCAGCTAGTGAAGGATCTCATTTGAGTAAGATCATAGCAAATGCAATATAATTATGTAGTTTAGGTCTCTTCTGCATGGGGGAGATGACTCATGTGGATTTATTTTCTTTTCCCCACCCAAGATACTTCCACGTTTGTTGTTAATGGCATTATAACGAACTGACTTATCTACTGAGCTGCAAGCATGTCCGTGGTTGGTGATGGCAGAACAACGCAACAGATCATATCAGCAAAGGTTGTTTTCTTTAGTCAAATCATAACCTCTGTCTTGTCTCTGTTGTGGAGACGTGGAAGGAGTTTCCACTGCAGGCAGCTCTTTAAAATGGACAGTGCATCTCTTAAGCATGCTGTAGTTCAGTGGCCTTTGTTTCTCCTGTTCTGAAGATACTTGCCAGATTGTTTAAGAATGCAAGCACTTTAAAAATACATACTGGGTGAGATAAGCTTGAGTGTACTCAGAGGAATGGCTTCATTCACCATCCCCAAATCTATAGCGAGCCGAAGTCTGAATCATAATTTCCAAGTCAGTGTTGAGATGGAAAAAGACAGGAGTCATTTGTTTAACAGCGGAAGAGAGAGAGAAACTGTCATGTCTACATTGGTTTGAGCATCCCTGCCCT